ATATTGAGTCATTTTTGAAGCGATGTACTCTTTCCGTATCGTAATTTCCTTTATTTTGAATTAACGAAATTGATTAAAAGTTGATACCCCCAAGAAAGTCGCAGTCCTCGATCTGCGAAAAAAGAGTGCGTATTATCCTAAACTTTCTTTCTAATTAATTTCGTTAATTCAAAATAAAGGAAATTACGGTACGGAAAGAGTACATCGCTTCAAAAATGACTCAATATTTTTATCTAGAGTTGTTAAAAAATAAAGAAGAGTAAATTTTCAAAAAATTTTCAAAAATTTAGTTTTTTTTTTCAAAAATTAAATTTTTTTTTCAAATTCAATGAGCAAAAAATGCCCAATTGTGAAACTGAAAAAAAATCAAATTTTTCATTTTTACGAACGTTACAGGGTGCTCAGAAATGTAAATTTTGCGCTTTTAAATTTTTCCGAAATTTTGATTAAGCGGTCCAGAAAAACCGTTCGATAGATCGATCTGCCCATTTACGGAGCTTTTGGGGGTACATCGAGGTGTAAAAATTCGTACAAGCATTAGACTCTCCATCGATATTAGCAAAAATGCGGTCGACTTGGCAAAACAAGTCAAAAAGTCACTTTTTTCACTTTTTTCATGTTAATGTCGAGGATGAACGACATTTTTTTTTCTTCCAGGAACGCTACATAGCCTTGTAGGAGTTTATTCGAGATTTCGAAACTGCCCGTCAATTTTTTGTCTGATCATTAGTTGCCGAGATATCGATGGTTAAAGCCAAAAGGATGTTTTTGTATTCGTAGTCGAATATCTCCGGGTCAAATTAACGTAGAGAAAAATTTTAAAAAAGAAATTAAAGCTGAATGAACAGGCTATCAAGTCCATATCATGATTTTTGTGTAAAAAATTTTTCTAAGCCCGTGGACCGAGAAAAAAAACGCAAAAAATTGAAATCAAATTTTTTTAGTCTTATTTCTTAGAATTTCGCGATGACTGTCGCTCCTAAAAATTTTGAATTAAGAAATCTGGAAACTAGACATTCGGCGCTTTAAAATGCTTTTTTTAAAACCTTGATACGATCATTTTTGACTGAGATACAGCATTCTGAAAAATCACTACAAATTCGAAAAAATTTTTTTGCTGCCTTAATTTTTTGCAGAAGTATATATTCGTCAATGTTTTGTGCTGAATTCAACTATATGTTTTGGTATGTCGATTGCGCCCCCTAGCGGCTGAGCTACGAACTTGAAAACTATTTCCAGCGATTTCTCTTGGTCGATTTATTAATCATATCTTTTCCCAAAGCTCTAGGGCTTTAGGGCCTATACTTTCTCTAATATCGTACCTCGCCGACCTTAGTGGGACACCCTGTATATGAAATTACCCCAAAACTATTAATCATAACTTCAATTTGCCAATATCAATGGAATTTTGCTTCAGACGTTTTCAATGTAGACATAAATGTCTAGTGAATATGGAAATTGTAATGTGCTGTTCATTTCGCGTAGTGTACCAATAGTTCACCCTGTTCACACTTACAACTTCGCATTGATAACAAGCGTCCATTTCTATCTTTGTTTATCTTGTACAAAAAGTGACACGACCGGCGCTGTATAGTTTCATTTCTCAATTGGTCAGTTTCCAACTTCGGCGTTTGCTTCCGTGTCATAGGCGTGAAATTAATATATCAGGTGATTCTGATCAGATCAGGTGATCTGTATTTAAATACAGAAACGACAAATTTTACTGACAAATATTGTATGCAGGCCTATACCAAAACATTGGGTTATTATTCAGACTATTTTGTATGCTGTGGGTCTCCATTGAATCAGATAGAACTATACGTGGACAAGCACTACCGTCTTGAGCTAATAATTGGTGTTAAATGGCCTTTTTAATATTAATTACATTAATGATTCATTTATTATTATTGTTTTTCATTGTTTTCAGTTTTCAGTTCTCCAGATCAGATTGTTAATAGCTACTTTACCCATTGTTTAGTAATTTAAGATATTTAAACACTTTTACACCATGTACTTGGAGTTTGACAGTTGAAACATTTGAATGATTTATACTACAAGCAATTACCTTAATTGCTTTGTCTAGTCGATTAGGTTCAAAACATTTTAAAATTTCCTTTAGGCCATTGAGTACTTGCATTAGAACAAGACTGTTAATTACAATACTTGCATTAGCCTACAAGTTTAATAGAGCTTAGGTCGTTGACGTTCAGAGGGCATCTCGGTCGATGCCGTCAGACAATATGTTCTTGTCATCACAAAACACGTTGCCACTTTTTTCATGTTTTCCATCACAAAACGCCATTTATCTTGACAACGGTCAAGGCACTCAATAAACAATTTGTTGATTTTCCCCCACGGTTGTAAGGGGTAGAAAAAGCCACCCCATAAGATTTGTTTCATACGTAACTTTTTTTCTTATTACCTACTACCTTACCATTTAAAAATTAATTTCAGATAGCCTAATTAATTCTAAACAAAAAATGTCACTAGTAATTTTATTAGAATTAACGGTTTCTGAGTAAAAAAATATTTAAAATCAATTACAGGCATGATTGGCATAGGGTAGAAATTTTATCGAACTGTAATTTATCTAGTGGGCATCTGTCACGTTGACATTTTGTAACGGCAACTTAATTGTTATAATTAATTCAATAATTTTATTAAATATGTTGACAAACAAGTTATTACAAATTATTAAAAACAAACAGCAATTTTATTAAATGTTTCTTCACATATTTAATACAATTATACCATTAATTATAACAATTAAGTTACCACTCCAAAATGTCAACCTGATAGCCGGCTACTACAGTCTGATCCCAAAATAATAGGCAGTGATTTCATCTTTAATCCGGCTCATCATTTTTAGCAGTCAACACAAAGAGAAGTACGTGCCTGACGTCAATTGGGTTGCGTTTATTCGGTTCCGGGCAATTCTGTTGGCGCAGGATAACAGGCGCACGCGTGGGAGAAGTCCGCGGATATCTTTCCGTTGATTTAATTGTGATTGTAATCAATTTATTAGTGATTTTGGGTTTGTGTTCTTAAAAATGGAGAGCAATTCAAGCTGGACGGTATTTTAAAAATGAGCTTCTGACAATAAAAAAAATTCATCCTGCTATCTCACAAGATCAAAATTTGCCTAGAACATCTAGAAGGGTACTTTTGCGAACTATGTGTGATATGAATCACTGCCCATTATTATGGAACAGGTTAGATAATAATAATAATAGATAAATTACAATTTCGACCCTATGCCAATTATACCATGTAATTGATTTTAAATAAATTTATGCTTAGAAATCGTTAATTTTACGAAAAAATTACAAAAGACCCTTAAAAATGAATTATAAATGGTAAGATATTAATAAGAAAAAAAGTTACATATGAAACATGTTTTCGCACTTATTTATTGACTATCTGTATATATATTTGTGTTTTTTTATTAAATATCCCTGGTTTCTTGGTGGGTTGAAAAAATAATATTTATATTACAGGATGTTCCAATCTATAATTATACAATTATAAAAAGTAAATAAAAGAAACTATCAATTTATGAGAAAAATCAGTTTACTAGACTATAAAAAGTGAAAACATCAGTGTTGATTTAAGAAGTCAAAATGAATATTATTCTTAATTATTTCAGGGTAGGTATATACCAAATTTTGTTCAAAAAATTCCATAAAATTTCCAGATTTCCCCAAAATTCAAAAAATAATATTTTCTGGTATAGGCAAAAATATATACAGGGTGTCCCAGAAGTGAAGCCAGTCCTTCCAGGATTTGATTAAGGAGACAAAAACGAATTGAAAATCAAGAGTGGAAAATATTCCGATTGTTTTCCGTTGTTGAGTTATTCAAAAAAGTATTAAAAGAACTAAAAAAGTGAAAATCCATTTTTTTTTGTCTCAAAACTGAGGTCTGTGCTTATGGGAACCAAGACATATAATTTATAACCAATAGTAGATAAGTATAGTTTTCGATTGTCGGTTGTACCTGGGTGTTAAGGAATTATTTTAACCTGAAAAGGTTAGAGAAAAACATTTTTATAATAAAACATAAACTAAAATCATAATGTGCTTAAATAATAGAAATTGTTTTTACAAAAGGTGTTCAAATAAGTTGCCTTCTCCTTCAAGACAAAGATTATCACGATTTAACATAGAAGCATGAACTCTTTGTAGCATATCTTGGTCTATTAACGCGACAGCAGCGTATATACGGACTATAAATCTTTTCTTTTAAATAACCCCAAAAGAAAAATCTAGGGGATTCAGATCTGGTGATCCAGGAGGCCATGGTACACCTCTTCCAATCCATCTGTCTCGGAAGTTTTCGTTCAGATAATTTTATATTCGTAAACCATAATGTGATGGAGCTCCATCGTGTTGAAACCAATAATTTAGTCTAACTGCTAACGGAACGTTATGCAGCAATGGCAATGGTAAGTTTTCATTTAAAAACATAGAGCTGCAGCAAATACAGCTTTGAACTACATAAAAATTTAATAATTTTTGAATATTTTTTTTGAATAACTCAACAACGGAAAACAATCGGAAAATTTTCCCCTCTTGATTTTCGATTTGTTTTTGTCCCCTCAATCAAAACCCACAAGGACGGGCGTCACTTTTGGGACACCCTGTATATTTTTAAATTTAACACTATAATTTGGAAACTAGGCTTAAGACATACGTTCATCGGAACTTTTCCTCTTAGAACCAACTTTACTATCGAAACTTACTTAAGAATCACCCTGTATATGTATAAGGTGAGTTATAATTACGTGTAAAAAATATAACCAAAGATTCCTGGTATCAAAACAAATAAATCAACCAAGTACGCTCCAGTATCAAAGTGCTCCCTTAAAAAATTAAGGGCCAATTTTTTTTAATTACAATTTTTGCCATAACTCCGTCACTTTTTAAGACATTTCGGAGTAGCTAAGAAACCGTAAACGGCCATTTGTGTTTTTGCAAATCGCAGGCGTTTTTTCGACTTACCGCCCTCCCTCTGCCTGGCGCTGACCGTCTTCCTCGTCCGGTGGAGGTGGTGGGACGTGTCGTAGAGCTCCTCCTTGGCGAGGTTGTCCAGGCTGCCTCCGTGCATCATGTTCTCGGAGATGGAGCTGGGTTTCCGGCGGTGGCGGCCGTGCCGCCGCGCCGACGGGTTGCAGTGGCGCACCAGCTCCGAACCGCCGGCGCTGGCCGCCCTCGCGATCCTCTCCGTCTCCTCGGCCTCGATGAGGAGGTCCTGAAACGGAAAGTGCGGCGTATAACGGCACGGAAGAACAGTGGAAGCACAGGTTGTATAAAATCGGCCAGGGTTGCACGCGGAAACCAACGTGCACAGTTTTATATAGGGTGTTCATAAATATCATGTACAGGGTTAGTCACTATAATCTAACAACTTACCGTGAGTTTATTATTGAAGTTACAAAAAAGTTTTTAGTACAAAAGTTTTAACTTTCTTATGGATTTTTATAATGCAGTATTAGAAAAAAAAAACAATTGAATAATGGAAATCACTAAGTTAAAGATTTTTTTTAATGGAACACCCTATATATTAGTGCATACTTAGCTTCGTTAAATTTTTCTATTTTCAAAAATATATATGTTACTGTTTGGTTCAGGACTTTTCGACATATTTCAGTTTAAAACTATTTTTGAAAAAAAAAACAGGAGTAAAATTTATGTCTGAAGGATCGCAGTGGCTATGGACGAGGCATCCGGAACAAACAAATGACTTTGACAGAAGTTTATTCATCATCATTAATTTATTTCCTTTAAAAATTTCCTTATTTTAACAAATAAATAATGTTTTTCCACGGTCGGGAGTAGAAATCAGTTTCTATGACATCAAAATTAAAACAGAAATAGTCGATTATTCCCAAGGGAGTATAATGCTCCCAAGGGAGTTTACATTATGGAGAACGTTTTTCATGCAAAAAAAAAGATAACATTGAAATTATTTATTGACATTTAAATTAAATGTTACATTTGTACAATTTTCAAAATTAATATTAGAAGGAATATTACTTTCGCTTACATTTACAGTTTTTGTGATTGCGCTAGTAGTGGTACCTACTAAAACCTGATTAGCAATTTTGGTCTTATTTTCAATGGAGTTCTCGACATAACCCTCAGCGACTGTCGTTGATTTCCAACCAGCATGACGCTTTATTGTCGTGATATCCACACCAGCATCTGCCAGTAATGTCGCTGAAGATCTTCGTAAGCAGTGACCAGTATAACATGCAGCATCAGGTAATTTTAAATACGAAGCTACTACACTCGGAATTTTTCCCATGGTATTCTTGCCAACTGGCTGCGAACTACATTTTCCTGCTTTGTAGTACAAAAAAAGGCGCTTATGCTTGACGTGGGGAGGACGAAGGGACAGGTATTTTCGAAACAATTCAAGCATATTTCCCACATCGGTAACCACAAAGGTTCGTGGAATCTTTGTCTTAGTGTTTGGAATTTTTACAATCAAGGAAGAGCCTACATCCTCAATATCATCTACAGTTAAATTGACTAGTTCATCAGTTCGACAAGCTCCGGCAATCCCCAGAATTAATCCAACCTATAAAAAATCAAAATACTTAATAATTGAAATACCTAACAACAAAAGTAATCTTACCTTAATCATTAAGAATTCTTTGTCATCTGCACTTGATAGAAAACGGTCGATTTCACCCTTTGTCAATATTTTCGATTTTTTCGCTTGATATCCGTCACCGGTTCTTTTCAAAAATGCGATCAGCTTGGGGAATTTGCTTATATCTATGTTGTCGTAAATTATCAAGCATGACTTAACCATAGAATATTGCGCCCATAATGTGGAAGACTTGTAATTCTTTGCATTTTCACTGAAGTATGCCAACAAAACATTCTCGCTGTATACTTGAACATTTTTCTCGGCGCACCACTTTTTGAACCGATTGTAGGCTATATCGTATAAAGATCTTGACTTCGTAGGCAGCAAATTGCTTATTGCAATATTTGCAGCCTCCACAATCTCTTCCGACTCACAATTATTCATTGTGCACTAAACAAACTTTAAACTAAACCAAACTAGCACCTTAATTTGACAATTCTTTTTGTTTGTTTATTTTGTAGTTATGACAATAACTCAACGACTACTAAATAAATGCTCAAATCCGAATACAATAATTCTGGTGCTACTTACTTCATAATGAAAAAACATGTGTTTTTAAGTTAATGAGACCGTGGAAAAAATAGTATATACCATTCGGGAGAGATGCTATTTTGTCCTCGGTGCATTGTAGCTCTCGGGCTTCAAATTGCACCTCTGCCAAAATAACGCATTTCTCTCCCTTATAGTATAATGTACTATTAGTGAGAACGAAAAATTTGAAGTTATCCGTTTTTTTATGATAATAATAAAAATCATTCTTAACTTTAACAAGCCTTAACTTTAACAGAGTTTTATTTAATACCTAATTAATAAAAAAAACTAAAACACAAATGGTCACAGATGCTCGCTCAATGTGGACGCCATTATTATTGATGCACTTCGGATAATCCTCATTCAGTTTCAGCATTTAGTATGAAATGGGAATTAAATGCACTTAAATTTTGTATACATTGATCAACTTTATATCTTAGTTCATCTAAGTTTACACTAGTTTTCCTTATAAACCTCGTTTTTTAAGTAACCCCTCAGAAAACTGTCCAAGGGTGTAAGGTTTGGGCTATTTGAAGGCCATTGAATATTTCCTCCATTACCAATCCACAAATCAAACCTATTATTTAAATAATTTCGTACTGCTCTGGTTCTATGCGAAAGCGCTCAGTCTAGTTTTTGAGATATTTAGCTCAAGTTTGGAATATAGGTACCGCTGTAGGGCTTACATCATTGGGCGTACCAAACGGTTGTGAGTTTCTACAGGGTGATATTTTTCCTGGGGTCATGTCCCCTTTTCTTCCTCTAAACTTTTGTGCGGTGGGCCGCTGGTAGATTCTAAACTTGCAATAAGAGAAGGGGTAATTCTTTGGCTTACTTCACGCCTAAACATTCATATAAACATAGATCTGCAAACGCTTCGTTATCGATCTACAGGGTGTTGAAATTTCAAGATTTTTTTAGGTTTTTCTCTATAGCTTCTATAGTTTTTGAGATATTTAGCTCAAATTTGGAATATAGGTATCGCTGTAGGGCTTACATCATTGGGCGTACCAAATGGTTGTGAGTTTCTACAGGGTGATATTTTTCTGGGGTCATGTCCCTTTTTCTTGCTCTAAACTTTTGTGCGGTGGGCCGCTGGTAGATTCTAAAATACAAGTTGATTTTTCTGTTTTTGTTAAGAAACTTTGGCCTCTTATGTTTTTTTCGTATCTGCGACCGTTATCGAGAAAAAAAATAAAAAACGATTTTGTGTAGAATTCGTTAAGATGAAATTGAAATTCTTAAAATGGCCCAGTAGGCCGCGAAAAAATATCACCCTGTGGAATCTCACAACCATTTGTCATGCTCAATGATGTAAGTGTGACCTACATTCCAAATTTGAGCTAAATATCTCAAAAGTATACAGAAAAAAACTAAAAAAAAATCTTGAAATTTCAACAACCGGCAGATCGGTAACGAAACGCTTGCGGACCTACGTTCATATGAATTTTTTGCCGTGAAATAAGCCAAAGAATTGCCCCCTCCCTTATGTGCATGATATTTAGGAACACCCTGTATAATTTTATACAAGTTCTGCAATATGGTTTTCCTGAGTTTTCATTAATTATTTTGAGAAGAAATTGTGGAAAATTATTCTGATTCTGAAGTCGTTAGCATGAAAACTAATGAATCAAAATAAAGTGATCGATATAAATAAAAAAAATCGGTATTAAAATTAATGACTTGACGGAAAAAAAATTAAACGTATTCCTTCTGCAATTTATTTTATTTATGTATTAACAGTAGATTCTGGGAATTTGAACAATTTTAGAAGCCTAAATTTAAAAAAAAATTTCATTTACTTTTGAATAAAAATTTTCAATTTTTTAAAAAATCGCCTTTTTTCAAAATGTTTTAAAAACTAACAAAGTTATAAATAAATGGAATAAGAAATTGTAGGTTTTTTCTTACCGAACAATTTGCTTTTTTTTTAATTTTTGTAGAACAAAATTTGACTGAGTTATGATCTAGAAGCTCAAAACTAAGCTCCAAGACTGCCTTTCCTGAGCCCTTTTAGCTTACAAATCTAAAAAACGAAGGGCTCACATATAATTTTTAGTAAATTTTTCTATAAGGGATTTTTATGAGGGGTAGGTCTTCCATAAGGGTTTTTTGGGTGGCTGAAAAGTTGCAATATATCATAGATCATTTGCAAACCAATAAAAAGTTTATAATTCAACATATGCATACCATTAAAACATCTCAAGCTTTCAATATTTTATTTTATTATAACGGATGGTTTTTAAGGGTTGCAATTTTGTAATGAGTCGTAAGCTTTCTAATGAATAACAAAAGAAATGAAACTTTTTTTTGCCATTGATGGTTTTTAAGGATTTTTAATGGTTGAAAAGTAATTAAATTTTTATTTTTTTTATATTAAAAAACATGAAAGGAACTTTATCCAACATATTTGAACATGAATTGAATCTTTAAAATACGTAAATCTGCAATTTTCGCATTTTTTTCGTACAAGGGTAGTTTTCACCCCCAAATAGAAAAAAGCACACATCTAGACAATATAACTTTTGAAGCGCGGGGTCAGATGAGTTTGTATGCAAATTTTCAGGAAAATCCATGTTATCCGAAAAAATTGGGAGCTTACTTTATTTTCGCCTTCAGAGACTGGACTAAAATAAAGGCATTAACAATCATTCGTCATATTTAATTTGATGTGAAATATGCGCCAATGTTATAACTAATTATGTTCCTAAGAAAACTGTAAATAAGAAGTTTCCTTTCTACTTTTTAAACAATACTATTAATGTTATTAAAGAAAAAATAAAATTTCATAAAAAATAGAAAACATAGAAATGAATCTGATTATAGATTGTTCTGTACTTTAAGGCATAGGTCTAAGAAACTTATACGTAAAGATTATTTTAATTATATAAAATCTTTAGAAGATGCGATACCTAAAACACTAAAAATTTTTGGCAGTATGCTTCTTCTCAAAAAAGTCGTGGTTCTTTTCCTAATTCTATTAAACATGGCTGGCGATAATTTTATTTTCAATGGTGTGACATTTGTACGCATTTTGCCAATTTTTTTCAAAGTGTCTATGA